CTTGTGTTCTTTTATTGATAATGGCAACTGCTTTGAAAATAACTATTCTTAAATGAATAAGATTTTACATAATTATATAGCTTTTTAAAATCTAAAATGAAGAGAAATGCTGCAGAATGACTCCCCATTAATTTTGACCCTCTAGGTCCAAAAGCCATTGCCAGAGGACCACACAGTGGTGTTGTGCTTCATTGATTACAGCATCAGCAGGGACCATCACAGCACTGGGGCCGCAAATCTGGTGTCACAACCTGAAATCTGTTCAGACATTTCTCATAGGACTGTGCAGTCGCCTTGAAATGTTGAGATGTGGAAGTCAGCACATCTTTCTATTTCAAAGATCAAATTGAATTAATTAACCAGCATATTAACTAAGATACCCTTTCCTCTCCATTCTCAAATGGCAACTAGAGGATTAGGGTGAACCTGTGCTGAAAGCACTTTGTACACACACAGAAAAAGATTAAATGACGGGTAGGATTCTTGTTCTCTCTTAACCTGCCAGCTTCCACAAACTATTTTCTTTTTTTCTTCAAGCCCAAACCCCACAAAAAGACAAATAAGCCTGCATTGCACAAACTTGTTTCACAGATACAGCACAAGCCAGGAAAACATGCAGTAAAACAAGCTAATTTCAGGTTTAGCTTTTAAGTTCTAAACCTCTAGACAACATTGCACAATCTGAAGTAATTTCCAGTTGGAAAAAGACATCCTTAGTCAGATTCAAGCCAGGAATCCTGCAGATTTGACAGCTGCACAGAAGCCAACAGAAAATGTGCCTGCAAACAGTCTGAAGTATCGAAATTGTCCATTTTTTCCAAAACTGCAATAGACTGGTCTGACTTCAGATAAGTGCCAGCTTGTGTCACATCTAAGTAGTTGTCAAGGAGGTGAGAATTTGGCAATTTTCTTCCATCATGTCCTACTTTTTTGCCTCCTTTTGCAGTCTGGGAGAAGCCCCATAGCAAACAGAGATTAAGATGGCATCTGAAGTCTAATTGACTTGGAAAATTTTAATAATTGGACCAACCCAGGAGACACTCAGCAGTTTGATATCAAAAGGGAAGCACACAGTGTTCTGTCCTTTCTCAGCCTTTTCATCAGATCTCTAACTAATTTAAATATGTTAAAACTTTTGTAGCTTTGGACCACTACTTAATATGAACCATTCCTGATTCACCCAGGAATGGGAAGTGATTTGTGATTACCAAATGCAGCATGTGGTCTTCCAGTGGTACAGGCCTTGTGTAATGAGAAATCTTCCAAGGGGTAGGAATGGGTAAATTGATCACCCAGAGCCATAGCCCGTAATTGGTTTTGACTTTTTCTTCAAGGGTTTTGTTGTTATTGTTGTTTTGGGGGTGGGGGTGGGGTTTAGAAAAAAAGAAAGACAAATCCTGGCCTCAGACTTGTCTCCCTGAGAACACATTTGTTAATCTAAAATACCAGCAGATGACACCAACTCAAATCACAACAGAATACATTTTCAGTCAGTCAGAGGCACAGAACAACTCGGGTGTGGTATGCACCATTGTATAACAGCCAGGAAATAATTGCAAAAAAACATCAACGAGCCTTAGGCAGATGAGTACCAACTACTTTACAGAACAAGCACTGTCCTATGGTGTGACATCCTCCATGGCACAGTGCAGTACAACCCCATTTACTGGGAAAGAGTTATGCTTCCCTGCACCAGCTGAGGACTGGGCAGTGCAGGCTGCCCAACAGCTGCTAGAAATGAAAGGAGAATTGACCATATTTCCAGAAGCTGAAGTGGAAGATCTCCTGCTGAAAACACAGATACTGTTATGACCAAATTCAAATGAGAACCATTTCAGTCTTTGAGAGAGAACTGCAAATAATGGTGATTTCTGAGTAGGAGTAATCACCTAGGAGACAGCTTCCTCATGGGGTGGAAACCAGCAGTGGCAGTGGCAGCAGTAGCAAGAGTTTCAGGCTTCTGGTCCTCGCAAGAACTAGAGGGTACAACCTTCCTTTTGCTGGCCATTTACATCCCACTGAGAGGTAGCTTCTGTCTGTTGGTCTGCAAACCTCTAGGTAGAGTGCTAGTTGTATTATTTCCCTGAGATCACTGCAAGATGAGCTACACAAATACAGATCTCTAGGAGAAATAATTGTAGCTGCACAGAAGATACCATATTTCAGAATTATTTAAGGGCTTTTAGTTGCAGAGCGATACTTGTGGGTTTCTTATTTTCACTGTCAGTCAATTTGATATCCAAATGGACTACTTTTTTGAGTAAAACCTCCATATCTCTTCCATGAAGGAGATCAAGAGACTCCTGTAACACCCTGAAACGATAAATGCAAGGATGTATTACCTCCAACTTAGTCCTCTCTGTGTAGATTTGAAGCTGCAATGAACAATTACAACAAGGGAAATGCATGTCAAGTAACATTGGGAAAGAGCATCTGTGGGATTCTCAGGACAGTTTGGCATTGCTTGGACACAGTTGCAATGAACTGAGAAGCAGATGAACCAGTGTCAGAGGTACTGCATATTTCTTATGGGAAGTGTAAATTCCGTGTGCTGAAAAGGGTAAGCACGATCGAGAAACAGCAGTCTGCAGTCAACAGAGATGAGAAAGGAAATTGTGACTGCTTGGGATTCCAGACATTTAAACAAACGAGAATAACATTTCTAAGCAATAGAGAGATAGAAGAATGAAAAGCATGAGGAAATGGCATACTGTGATTTAAAAATAGCCTAGCGCAAGCCAGGAGAGCCATGCTGAGCATGGAGGGAGCTGTGCAGCTGCAGGATCACTTCTGCCTTACATGACTTGGGGCATGGGCCAGAGCTCCGAGTTCTTCCTCCATCCCAAATCTGTGAACTTAAATGGAGCATTGCCGATGAGGACAGACGGCCAAGTTATGTAATTAGAGAAGAGTCGAGACACATGTAACTTCAGGCTCTCTGGGATGGAAGGGGAGGACGGTGCAATTTCAAAGGAATCACTTGTGTGGAAAGAATATGTGGAAATTCCTAGTTCACAACTGGAGCTATGTAAAACTTGGCCCTTATTCTTTTCAGAGATTTGCTGTTTTCTCTTTTATGTCAGCTCATGCAGGCCTGCACCCTCTGGCTTTTCTTTTGTGTTCTGGGAATTGAATAAACCCTGAAAGTAGTGAGAATCATCTAGTCTCACAGCCTAACCATGCAAAAACCCCTGGCTGGAGTGTTTTTGATGTGAAATCATAAATCAGGCCAGTTTCACACAAAGGGTTTCTGAGCTGCACCAAACTTTAAACAAATGTGAATTTGGTTTGCTAGTATTTTTATTTAAGTTTTCCTCCTAATTTCATCGCTTCTATGTTTTTTTCATTAACAAACATCTGGAAATTGCATAAACTATACTAATGGATTATTATCTTCTCCCTCTCTCCCCTCTCTTGGTATATAATTAAGTTTTCCTTTTGCTCCCTCCTTTTCTGTTCCACACACAAATGCACTTGAAAAAAAAGCCTCAAGGGAAATTGTTGTTAGAAGGACTACAGCAGCTTTAGGACTCAGGAATAATGAATTCACAAGTCACACCAAGTAAGGAGTCAGAGTACCCCTCTCGGTGAGGTCTAATTTTGGTGTGTTTGAATTATCAACTGATCTTATCACAAAAAAAAAGAAATACTTACATTACAGTTTTGCATGAAGATCATGAGGAATAAATATATTCCTTTAGGCATGACCAATCATTACTTTTACTTGTGCTTTTCTTATTGCCACAGTTCCATTAAACTCAAAGCTTAGATGCTTAAGGTGGTAGATCTAATCTAGTCAAACTTTTAAAAGCTTTTAACAGAGACCTTCTCAGAACACTAGACATGCTTAGAGAGTTTGAGGGCTGTGACCAAACACAGCTTCAGCAATCCTGTTCCAATGGATTTAGAAGTTATGGGGTAATGAATTGCGTGGGGAGAGAGTGCAGGGGGGTGAAAATGGGTGGAGAAAAGACAGACATTAAGCCACTGCCAGTGGTTCAGTGATGGGCCCAAGTTTTCTGTTGCCTTTCCAAATTGCTGAGTCATATAAGCAAAATATTTTTGTTGACTTTCTGTGTATTTTTAAGCACCTGCTATAGTTTTTATAAAAATAAGTAACACAGAAAATTTTACATCTGTGAAAACATATTTTTAATGCAAAATTTCATTATACCAAGGTCTCTTCAGACAATCCAGTGTGTTTTATAGTCATCATGTTTCTATTTGTCTGATATATAAGGCTGGTGCTGAGGTATGAAGAGGAAGAAGAGTAGATTTCTACCAAGAGCATCCCAGAGCCAAAGTTCCACAAATCTCCCTTCTATGAAACCCTTTTCACATCTGTATCTGTAATTACTATAGGTTCTGTAATTTTTTAATCAGTCTCTTTCATTATGTTTGACCAGTTTTCTCCCTCTCTTTCCCTTTTTGAAAATACAGGAGCAGGAATGTGTCTGGCAGAGTAGAATGATACTTTAACAGAAAAACCAAATGATGTTTTCAATCTCTGTGGCTTAGCACAGATTTTTCATTTTATAAGGAGATGCTATTTTTGTATTACTGGTCAGGCTTATATTCCCGGTTGTAGGGCAGGGCAGTTCAAATTCCCTTTGATTCTATATTACTTGATCTTTAACTACCAGTTCTGAATGATTGTTTGGTCCTGTAATTTTTTCTCCATCTTTTTTTTTTTGCATTCATTATTATTTCTTAGCCATTGTACATTACACTATGAGGCACAATCTTCCTCTGTATGTCCCCCCATACATCAACAATGCAAGGACAATAATCATGATAATATCTTCCTTCTTGCAGTAGACTATGCCAAAGGTGTTTTTCTAACCTTTCTAAATCAGGCTTGGTGAAAGAGTAAGGAAAAAAAAAGCTGTTTGGGATCAGTCAAGCCCTACAGCCAACCTTATATCTGTGTGCAGCAATGGGATTAAATCTGGAAGAAATGGTTTGGAAATGATGGCACAGAGAAACCTTTCTCTGTTTAATTCATTCTGCTTCCCCAGCAGCTTTCAGTTCATGTTTGTTGTGGTTTGTCCTAAGTCCTCCATGCTTTCTTCTTGCCTGCTAAAAAAAGTAAGCCATTGGTGGCCAGAGCTCTCCTGCACTGAAGTGTAACTACAACAGAAGCATTTGGGAGCCTGTTGCCTGCTGTTGTTTTGTGGGTTTTTTTTAGTGGGGGTGGAAGGAAAGATTGCACAAAGTTTGGGAGTTAAACTGGGCTCTTTGTGTTGCTAAAGCATTTTGAACTTTCTCATTTACCTATTCACTGGAGGAAGACACAAGACTATACCTACAATAAAGGCATTTATAGCACATGTCAAACTGCCCAGGGAGAGTCCTTCACTTTTCTCTTTGTAATTCAAAACAGCATTTGCATCCTTGCTGGAAGTGGAGCCCTCCTCAACTTTCCCTCACTCGGGAAAGGAAATGCTGAAGGATGGAACAGTTAAACATACATGAACCCAAGCATCTCCTGTGCAGGGGAATTTCACAGGAGAAAGGCATCTGTTGCCTGCTGAAATAGCTGCTCTCCAGAGCTGATATTTAAAGCTTCAGGCTGTCTGTCACTCTTTTGAGATCTTGTTTTCCCTGTGAAGGAGCTAACACCATCCTATAACCCAGATAACAAAGATCTATGTAGGGCTTACCATATACTAAGTGCTATGCAAAGCTGTTTGCAAAATTCTTCATATGCATATTGATTTTATTAGAGTAACAAAATCCTTTTACAGCTGGTTTGATTTGTTCCTGTTGTTTTCTTGTGAGTTGGTCATCACTAATGCCTTAGTACAGCAGAGGAAACAAATATATTTTTTATTTTTATTTACCTTGGACTCAGACCTCAAGCTCAGTAATATCAATATTAGTTCATAATAGTAATATTGCTTCATTGGCCTAAATATGCCTGGATCAGGGGCACATAACATCAAAGAAAAACATCACTTGCAGATAGGTATGAAAGCAAGAAGCTCTCTAAGCATGTCCTACCTGTGTTTACATATCCAGTGCACCACCCGTAGAGCATTGGTCAAACATTTCCCACTGACTGGGGAAATGCAAAGAGCATTTATGTCTCTTACTCAAAAATTCACCCACATTTCCTCGATCAATATTGATGGAATTTAGGTTAAGATTAGTGAAACTTATCATGAATTAAGAAAATCTGTTCTGTCTGCCCTGTCAGACAGGGCATAAAGGGTTGCTACACCTTCCCAGTGCTAAGAATTATCTGTTTATATCTTCCTGTGTCCTGTATTATCAGATTTGACTGGGCCTATTAGTTATCTCTGCAGCAAAAGTTATTATAGTTCCAATGAAATTATGCATTTCCTTAAGCTCAGATGTAACATTTGATTCAATGACTGATGCAATTTACCACTAAATTTCTCAGAATGGCTTAATAACAAACTGCATGAAGAAGCAATCCACTTTTGTTGGAGCTCATTTGTACTGATCTAATCATGTCAATCTTCGCAGTCTCAGGAGTAAATTATGTAAAGGAATTCATGCTTCTTGTTTTCAACCTCTGATAATTTAGAATGTGCTACTCAACTTTCCTTTTTCTTTCTGAACAAATCACATTTTGAATCCTAATATGATGGTTCCAACCATGCATTTATTTTTGACTTCATAACTGCCATTTCACTGTCTTATTTAACCTCCTTTATGGTTTTGGTTTTGTTTATTTTTTTCAGGTTAAGTAACCAAGATCCAATTCACATATTTTTTAAGCATGAAAGTTATTTAAAAAAGAAGTAATATAGTCAGTGAAGATAATAAGGTCCCATGGAAAGTTACTTGGATAAGAATCAAGAAATCTAAACTTGGTTTAGACGTCTTTAGACGTATCTCTTTGTGCCTGTTTCTTATTCCACTCTGAAGAGAAACTGAGGCACAGTTGTGGTTTCTTTCCTTTTCCCTACACTGTGAGAGAACACAAAACTTTTTTTGTGGTTTTATAATGCAAATGAGCAAAATGTGATAGTTCAATGTCAAAATACTCACTTTTCTCTATTTGAAAAAACAGTGGAGAGACAGATATGTTGAACATATCACTGTGCACGTGTGATTAACAGGACCAACACAAGCATTCCTGGAGAAACATTTTCACATCAGTAACTCACAAGTCTCTCAATTTTTAATCAGACAGACAGTCACAAACTTCCTTGCAATAAATTCCATCTGCTCTTGCTTGTCCTGAGTCTCACCATGAACCTCAGAAAAGCTATAGCATGAACAATGAGCTGAGAGACAGACAGAAGGTGCAGGTGAGCCCAGAGGAGCTTGGGCCCCAGGGCTGCCTGCCTGGCAGGCCACAAAATAAGGGTGCTCCTCACCAGCAGCACTGCAGAGAAGAGCACCTGAGAGCAGCCTTACTGATAAATGTGGGGATTTAGGTTACCTCCCCATCCTTCCTTCCCAGAGTTGAGAGTTGTCTCTCTGCTTTGGCTCAGTTCTCAGCTCTGAACCAAAGGGGGCATTTTTACAATAGAATAATCAGTTAGCAGCCACAAAGAGTCCTTAGAAACCACTGTTTGCCACCTGCCATGGCTGGCCCTTTTCAGGAGGGCATGTGGGCTGGGCTGGAGTCACAGGGAACCTCCTGAGCTTCACACAGGTTTGTGCCCTGCAGCTAGCTGCTCCAGTCATGACGCTCTGCCAAAGGCAGCATGAGGTTGAGGCCTTCCTGCCCCCACATCCTCTTCTGTGCCCATGGGTTTGGGGCTGACCTCTAGGTCACTGCTCTTTCAAACTTTGGGAAGCCTCACAAAGCTGAGCAACCCCCTCTTGCCCAAACCTCAGCTGGGAATCTGTAAGTGAGAGGTGCTGCAGGGGGAAGGTGGGAAGATGTCTACTGTCACTCTGGAAATGGGATCTCCAACAATCTCCCCAGTCTGGGAAAACATGGTTTCAGTTTTCTCTTTTGTAACAGCAATCCATGTTGTCCGTTTAGATTATAGACCTGAATGGTCAGATTATGCTGTCAAAGGCTTATTTCTGAGAGGCTCTGTTGAATGGGACAGGTGTCACACCTCCTCTTGTTCTTTCCATAGCTCTTCTAGCTGATATTTTACACCCTGCTAAGATTGAAGATGCCCTGAACCAGACTTGAGCAGCAGAGAGAAGGACTAACATGCCTCCCAGAGAGAAGGATTGCTGCTGACTGGAGCTGAGATTTTCACACCAAAAGCAAATTTACACAAACATATCTCTGAATCACATGCTGGGCTTGGGACCAAGCAACAAAAATAGCACTGCTGAGTTTTTTCTCTATTTGGTCATTGAATTTAGATACCTTGAACTTCAGGAAAATCTTAGTTTTGATTTTAAACACCTTGGGATCTGAAGCACATGGACTACTGGGAGATGGTGTTAGCAGAGAAGTGTTCAGTCGCAATAAGCCGTGGAACCCAGGCTTGTGGTTTCCAAGGGACCCACCTCCAACCTTTTATATTGAAGTCTAATTAATTCAGCTGCAGACAGTATCTACCCTGTCCTATGTAGGGCATTGCACTGTTCCAAGGCTCATTTGAGCCTACAGTAATATTTTACCTGTTGGAATGGGTCTTTGCTCCAGCTAGTTTAAAGGCATGTTGTGGCAATGAGTAGGTGGGGTGTATTTAGCTGTAATGAAAACATTACCATTCTTGATCTGAGCAGCTGAAGCAAGAGGATCCAGAGAGAGAGAAAACTACCAAGTGGAGCAAGGAGGGGGGCAGATGAGGGGGAAGAGGGAGTGTTTCCTTGATGAAAGTCTAATGAGTTTACAATTCCAAGAGAGAAGCACTTTTGGAAAGACTATACATGGATGAAAGGGCATGGACCCCTAAGCAGGATGATTCTATATAGCTGCTACATTGCTTAGTAAATAATCATGACAGAAAGCTTACCCAGAGGATTGGGCAATAGCTGCTGCTTTTGCTGGGTTCTAGGCAGCATGTAGCTGGGCTCATTGAGTTGGAATGTTCTAGGACCCTCTGAACAAAAGTGGACATTGCCCATTGCCAAATGTCACAGCCAAACAATTTCAGATTCCCAGGTGTCCCATTTTTATATTTTCCAAAGTAAGTTGTCAGGTTGTTGCACTCAGAAGTTTTATTATAACCTGTGGTATTTAGCAGGGAGTATGTCAGATTCACTGTGAATAAACTGTTTTAGAGGTCTACTGTCCACTATATAATTTTAAACCTTTTACCTTTCATCTCACAGCTGGAAAATGTTTCCAGTGAATGCTGAGAGCCAAGGGCTTAGGGAAAGGAGTGCTGGTTCCACTGCAAAACATCTGAAGCAGAGTGGTACACTAAAAAAAGGTAAAAGCAAAACTAGTAGGTTAAACACCAACTAGTTACTGCATATAAAATTATTATGATAAATAAAATAAAATTATTTAAATTTTGAAGTGCTTTGGAGAGGAGTATCAATATGAAATGCCTCTGCTGAAAAAGACAGAAGAGACATTGGCATCTGAGACAATTCTCATCAAATGCTGACCATGACAAGCCCCACTTCCAGCTTGCTGCACCCACTTCTAAGTGCCACAGCTCCATGCAATGGGGCACGCAGTCAGGGCATGTGGTTGTACATCTGCTTCACAGGGAGGTTTGTGTGCCTTGGACTTGGGATTCTCAGCACTGCTGTGCCTCTTGTGTAACAGTTGCTTCACTCTGAGCAGGCAGAGAGTCCTCCCCCTCCCCCATATGTTTGGTTGCTAATTGCAAACATGAAGGACTGACATTCTGATGCCTGCTTTTTCAGCTTCCTCAAATTCACACTTTCAGGCAGTCTGCTTCCAAGCTGAACTGCCTTCTTTTCATGGGTGTTTCCATGTGAGTAGCTTAGACTATTCCATCTAGCAGCTTTCATAAATTTAGATGCTATGGACATCCATGGTAGGCTTTTTTAGCCATTTTTTTGGGGTTGTTAGGTTCACACTCATTTTGAAGTGAGCAAGAAGCAGAGTACATACAATTTACAGGATACTTAGCTTTCTTTGCCTAGAAAAATGCTAGGAGATCTCATGTCTGCTGAGGGCTGAGATCACAGATATTTACAATAGACTAATAAAATGTTATCTTGTCAAAGAGCAGATTTTCCTCCAGGTAACTTGTTCTTTTGCTGTGCTCAACATATCCAACATAGACCATTGTCACTCTTCCTATAGAGGGTATTGATATTAGTTCTGATTGTTGCTTTCTTTATGAGAATTAATTGTCTCTAAAAGGGTGCAGTTGTTTGCCTACTTCTGTTTCCCTGCCCATATTAGCAATAAGAGCAGAATAAGCCAACTATGGCAAAGCATTGCCTCTGCAGCCCACAGCCTAGAAAGAAAAACATGTTTCTTTTTGTGGCAGCTGGGGAAGAGACCCCCAGACAAGACGTTTTTGTTCCTGATTCTCTCAACTCTCCCGCCTTTCTAAAGCTAGGTCACATCCAGTCTCTGACCTGTTTGTCACTCCTCTCACCCCACCAAGTTGTTGTGAACATCTCCTGTCCTAGTCAGTTAAGGGTCTCTAATTAGTGACATAATAGTTAGGCAATGAATGAACCAAACCTGCATCATAATGAAGGATGAATATTGTTAGTGAGTCACTCTGCAGCAGGGATCCAGAGCTGCTGGAGTGGTTTGTTTTCCCAGCAAGCTGCAGCTGGTTTTAACTGGGGTGTATCTTTTATATGTTCTGCCTCAGGGCTAAATTACTTCAAATAGGACTTTGCTGCATGGCTGGAAAAAACAATCATTTGTTTGCAGTTTTCCTTTCGAAGGGATGAGTATAAAACATCCTTTTCTGACTGAAGTAAAGTAGTACCTTCAAGGCCAATCCCTTTCCTGCAGTGGCAATTTTCAAAGGAATTGCTGGATTTGTGCATGCAGGGCACTCACTGGAGGGGTTGTGTCTGTGTCCCAGTCTGCAGGCAGATGTGTGCCCACAGAGCAAGCAGGGAAAGGTGACAAGCATGTCACCCACCACAGCCCATTTTGCCATTACTAGTGGAAGGCACAATGTATATTAACACCTCTCTGATTGCTGGATAAAGCTTTTCTAGGGCGAGGCTCAAACCAGTAACACTGTACACAATTGACATGGGTTAGTGGTTTACCTCAAGAAATGGAGGAAATCACTTAGCTCTTTAACCAGAAGATTACCACAGCCATAGTGGTTTAGCATCAGCATGGGTTTGGTGAATATTACTTAGAGATGGAGAAAAGAGAAAGTCCAGCGGCAGAACTTGGTGATTTTCCATCATGGCCTTGAGTGGGCAGAAATTGTTGCTGGGTTGTGGGGATGCCAACATCCAGAACCAGGGCATCCCAGTAGTAACTGCAAGGAAACTAGTATCTTACCCACCTACATGTTTTTTCAGCAGATTTATTTATAGCTTGTCTGTCATTCAAACTTCCTGACATCCAAGATGCAATTTGTATGAGATCAGTCAGGTTTGGTCCTCTGGACATTGCACTGGACACCCCCACAGAGGGTGGGGGGGTTGCATGGCAGTGAGACACAGCAGGTAGAAAGCAGAACATATTGCCCTGTTCCCATCTTGGGAGCCTCTCCTGAGCAATAAGCAGATGCCTACCAGTCCTGGCAGACCACCACCACACTTCAGATTTTGAGTCTGTGGGAGCCTGCAGGTCAGGGAGAAATGGGGCTCACAAGAGATGTCTTTGTCTCAGTGAGTCTAATCACCCCAGCTTTTTCCTCTAGTTAGCTGAGAGACAGCTTTCACCGTGGAGAGATGCAAAGCAGCTAAGTTAGGTGCTCACTCTGAACCTTCCTGTAAAGGGTGCCTTTTTAATTCATTAAACTTGAGGAAACTAATCTCACAGGGTTTTCTGGCCCCCATTTACATCCCTAACATCACCTGAGTTTCAGGTTGTACATGCTTCGTGTATCCTCTTGCATGTTCTCCAGGACCAGGCTGGGATTTCTTGGGATTTGAAAGGTTTTACTGTGTTTTCACTTAGTAAAAAAAATTGAGTTTTGCCTAAATGAAAGGGCCTCCAGACACGAAGGAAATAAAGTTCCAGATAAAGCTGTGAGGAGACATGGACTGAGCTCTGCATTGGCATGGAAACCCACCAATTGCAGGGTTTGTAAATAATGTGGAAGTAGATTATAGCACTTTTTATGCCTGATGATAGTGCTTTAGAGTGGCTGTGACAAAGTCCCTTTATGAGTCCATATACCTTTAATACATGTGGCTTGCCCTGGAAATGGGATCTCTACACAGAGGTCGGAGAGAATGGCCTCATGCAATTGGTAACACAGAGTAAGACACACTAATGAGCCTATAAACTCCTTAGGTATCTCTCCATCTTCAGGCCATACATTTAAGCCTGGTCAGGCCTAGTTACACATTGCAATGAAATGGCTGAATCATCCCTAGAAACCTGCAAGGGCAAACCTGAAGGAGGAAGTAAACCATTGCAGCAGCCCTGACACACACTAGAAAAAGGATCTCCAGATACCTGCTGCATGCAGAAGCAAGGCCCACCTCCTGTGTTAGAGAACAGCACCCCTGACAGAGACTCTTGCATCTGGCAGAGTAAGGAAAGACAACAGCTGCCATATGGGGAGAGCAGCAAGATTTCACTGGGGCTTCAGGGATCCTCAGTGATTGAGGAAGGAAGTCACTGTAAGCCCACAGAGTATGCTTACAGTCCAGTTCAGCAGAGATACAGAAAGTAGATCCCATGGTTGTACATGGCTTAAACACTGCTGAGATTTTGTCTGTCTGTCACTGAAAATCTCTGTAGAACAAAGGAAAACTGAGACATGCAGTCAAAAGAAAACTACCTCCAAAAGGTAGGCAGGACACATAAGGTATGTTTTCTACAGTACCAGCTCTTGTCACGGTTGGTTCTCATCCAAACTAAAAGTGCTCTAACATTTTAAAGAAGGAAAAAAATGGAATTTCCATGGAAGTGAGAAGGTTCTTTGAGTCCCTCTGGAACAAGCATTAGCTGTCTCAGCCATATGTGGTGAAAAGGATTCTACCTTGTCCACCTCTGCTGTATCATCCACCCTACCCTAAAAATAGCCTTCCATCACTGAAAGAACTCCACTTCTGTTCTCAAACTGTGTGTTTTTCCTGCCTTGAATTTGTGTAGTGCTGTCACCTCTGTCAGGTGTACAGGCAGAGTGAAAAAGCCATCTGTACTGACTAGCAGAAGGAATTAACTGAAACAAAAAATGCTGCCTCGCAGTAAGCAGGACACTTTGCTCTTCTCAGATTTCCATTTTGGTCTGGAGTTAAGCTGGGTAACTTTTCTGCTCACCCATTTTACCAAGATTTGCAGGTACAAAAATATTTGCTCTGTCAGGGCAGAGAGCAGCCACTGTTTGCTACAGCCTTAATTCCTTAAAATTGTTTTCTTGTGCCTTCCCATTCTCATCTCCTTTGGCTAAACTCCATCACAATTAGCCTTTGTAATGCAAACACCTTGGTATGACATGTTAGGATCTGTTCCACAGAACCAATTTAGACAGAAAGTGTGCTTGTAACTGTGTAATTGAACTGCACTGATACGCATGTGCCAGGGAACATTAATGTCTTCTAAACTCTCAATTGTTTCACATTTATGGTATTTTTCCAGATGAGTTGTAGCTGAAACTGTATCTTTAATGTCCTAAAAATACAGCACAGCGACCCATACACTTACTGAGCTCCACAGAGCATTGGGTGGAAAAGCATTTGCTGTGTTAGATTTCTCCAGAAAGTATTTCTCCTGACAGTGGCATGTTGAAAAACCATGTAACTTGTGAGATCTGATAGCTACAGTGCTTTCAGAAAGAAAGAATAGTGTCACGAGCAAAGGTTAACCTACAGTGATTGATTTACTTAAGTTTTAAGCAGTCATGCTGAACCTTTGGATAAATGTTTAACATCGAAAATGTGTTGTTCATTTTCATGACACAACAAACAAAGTCTCTGTAATTGCTGGGACATAGCAAGGTTAGCTAAGTTCTCTGCCTTCAAAAACAGAGCTGTAGTACTAGGGAAGAATATGAAAAACTACTTTGCCATTGAATGGGATAATACTTGAGCTTAATCTCCCATTTATGGGTTTGCTTGAGAGGCTGAGGAAAAGGTTTTCCCAAACAAGATGGGACATCATAAAGATGAGATACAAAAAAGCATTCACCAACAAAGTGTTGGTGAATTATTGGCCTGCTCTAATACCTGTTAATCCCCTTTTTTAGTTAAATGTCAATGTAATTAATCAAAATGTTAATTTTGGAAAGGGGAGCTTCGAGTGTTATCCATTTCCCTTCTACCTCTGTCCAATCTCCAGGTGTTCCCCTTGATACCATCAACAGGAGAAGGTGCTCAGAACCTTCACGTACCAAGGATGCAGCAGAAACAGCCTGTCAGAAGGATCAGAGGGTGTCCTGAGCTGTGAGGGCACCAGAGAACATTGAGCAGCCCCTCAGCATTGATTTGCTGTGGAATGGGAAGCTCTGTGGCACTGGAAAACAGAGGCAGTGAATTTAATGCTGCTACAGTTGCCATTGAGTGCTTCTGGTAGTTCCATGACTTTTTGGTGCTGTTTGTTTGTTTGTTTGAAGATGAAGAAAAGTCTTGTCAAGGTAGAATGACATACAGCTGTTAGGGGACAGCCAATGTCAGTGGTGCTGACACCTGTCAGGATGAATACTGAAGCATCTACCAGCCCAGAAGAATCTTAGGAACATGACCTAGGGAACTAAAAGACCATTTTCCAGGATAAGTGGGGCCAGACTCTCTCATGAAGTCAAGTATCCCAGATATAATCTAGCATGGGCATATGCCATGGTGCAGACTACAGAGTATTCTTTTGACTTTCATCATCTCCTTCAGGATGACTGGAAAATGTCTATGAAAACAAAACATCATGCCTGGGAAATCAGAAATCTTACTCTCCTTTGGCTGCTAGCAAATTGCAGGGTAGTTGGTAGTGCTGAAGGGGAAAGCAGGAGAGTTCTCTTCCCCAGAAATGTGCTCTCCTGCTGTCCATGTTCTTCAGTTTGAGATCAATTGGGAAGGAAGGATAGGTGTCAGGGTTGAATCCTGATTCTTGTCCAGCAGGACAATTCCTACTGGAGAATTATAGAGCAAGAAGGTTGTACACAAGGGCCCAGAGTTGGCTTGTGATTGCACTGGATCCAAATGCTTCCCCCTTAAATGTTTGTCTTTGCTTATGGGGACCAACCCAAGTAGCTGCAGCTGATGCCTCTTTGGAAAAAGTCAGTCTCTTACAGCACTGATTTTAAATCCAGGGTCAGTGGGTAGGCTACTTTCAAAAGGCACATGAAAAACAATGAAGAAAAATCCTTCAACTTGACAGTACCTTAGGAGGTCTGTACTTCCCTTGGAAGTCTTGTCTTTAGTTCCCCATATCAATAAAAAATGTTGAAAAAACACAGTTCTTGAGAGTTTTTCTGTAACATGCCAATTACAGGTGCTCTTGTTCCTGTTCTTTTGTAGAGTCCTTTCCTGAGGGAAAAAAAGTAAAAAGTAGCCTAAATTAAGATATCTGCAATAA